ATAACATTTATAAACATTATGGTTCCCCACAAGTAATCAAATCATTATTAGCTTGAATAATCAAGTTTCGAAAATTATGCATCTAAGGTGATCAAAGATTGTGCATACTGTAGAGTAAAATAAGATTGACTGACCTTAATCTTGGTTCATTGCTGAGATATTTGACACATAATTGTGTTTATTTCTTTATATATCTTGTGTGAAAGCTGGTGCACTCACGTGGAAAACATTTTCCGACATCTGGAAAAGGCACGCTGGTTATGTGATGATTAAATTGTGTACGCTACACTGTTAAATGTGTAAGAAGGATTATTTTCCTTGGCATCATGCCTTCCATTAGCATATAAACTACAGGTTAACAAACAACAGTGTGAGAAAAGTCCAATTGTCTGATGAAATATCTATTGATTAATAAATGGCTTTGCACATTATTGGATCTTATATGTGTAGTCATTTTTTTTTAACCATCTGTACTTTCTGATTAATAAAAAAATACTGGCAAGGATTATTTTTTATTATTCAAAAAGCACTGCTTAAATAGTAGACAAAAAATATTTAAACCAGTCTAATGGAAAAATATACTGTATGTATTTATTTTTCAGTGTAGGCTAATCGTTTTCTGTTTGTTTGTGCCACTTCATTGTGCATTTCAACGGGCAACACATACATTTCTATGGGATTGAATTATTTGAAATAATTCCAAAAAAGTTAAAGAACAATTCACTTGCATGAGTAGATCTGAATATAGCTAAATGTAATTCAATTTGTTTGCATTTTAATTTGGTTGTGAGTGTGGGTGTCTGTGTGTGTGTGGGTGTGTGTGTCTGTGTGTGTGTTCATAGTCTTCTTTAGGAACTTACCTTTAGGACATAAAATTAGAGAAAATAAAGTTTTGCTTGTAATTCTTTTTCCATGACTGTATAATGCAATGTTTATGAGTTGCAGATTATTAATGGCATGGTAATTTGATGCAAATTTCCAAACATTTTCTGGCAGCTGGTTTATCATTCTAGTTTTGAGGAATGCGGTGCAAGAGAAGTACAACAATGAGGCTTTTCTCTGTGTTATAAATCTTTTCCCAGCAGCTTCCAAAACAGTCTGCTTTGACTAACCGGCTCAGTTAAACTGGTGCAGCCTGTGATGGATGTTACAGTCAGTTTTATTTTTTTATTTTTTTGGTTTCTTTTTCCAAAGTGGCTTCCAGCTTTCCAAATGCTCACCAATGACGACTTCCCAGATGGTTCTGTGTAGCAGACCATCTGGTCCAGCAGGTTACATATTTACGGTGTCAGGCTGGTATATATTAGGGCAGGAGTACACACACTGAGGCACAGTGAAGATGAGAAAACTTGTAAATACATGACTCTAATTATATGCTCCAATAACGTCTTTCAATATATCAGCACCCACTCTGTATGTTTTATACATTGCTCCACATTTATCAACATCTTTATCCAAATTTCTTTTTTACGAATGATATTATCAAAGCAAAAAAGTTACTTAAAGTGTAAAGTACATCATACAGATAGACACGACAAATAGCTCTAACCAAAGCTCAAAGAGCTACTTGGTTTTCTGTAGGATGGTCGCTATGGCAGCAGTACAGATTTCCAACAGGTAAGAAGACCTATTTTAAGATGGAACCAAACAGTTGTCTATGTGAGGCCATATTTTATTTGAGCCCTTAGCTAAGTGCTGTTTCATATATTGAATTTAGAGTTAATTGCCCAGTGTCAGTAACCATCTGGACTTCTCTGGTTTCTCTGGTGCCACAACAGCAAATTTGTTTCACCTCTTCCAAAATAAGCTTTCTGTAACTCTCTCACTTTCTTGATGTTCAACCCCTCAAACCTTTTTACTCTGGTGGTGCTCCATCAAGCGTCTCTTGGTGGTCATTATTGAATTTAGACAGGAACCATGTGCATTATAATGTGTATGTGCTGCTGCTAATGTATGTTTGAGAGCGAAGGAGTATAAACCTCCTTAGCTAATCTCCCCACTGTGCTGGAGTCACAGAGCTGAGGAGTGAGAGGCAGAGAAACAAAAAAAAGAGAAAAGAATAATGATGCGAGAAAAAACACAGCAGTGGATCCCTGGTCCACCCACGCTGCTTAGCACAGCTCAGCAGTAGTGCACTTTTGTCATGTCTTAGTTCACAGCCGCATTCAAATGCATAAATCTTTCATCTTAGACAGCGCTTTGGCTAGAAAGTATGTAAAGAGCATTTTGTTCCTCTAAAAAAAAATCAGCTAATACAAAACAGATTTTTTTTCTGTCTTTTTTACATGTGCACACAGAGAAACACAACCTAATTATTTGCTCTAAACCTGGGGAGCACCTGGTGTCCAATCAACCGTGGTGCTCAGCTGGGTAACGGAGTGCATTTGTGCTCAATGAAGAATTCTGCTGAGGAAAGTAGTAAGAATGGCAACCTTGGCTCCGCTTTTCCTTACAGAAGTCAATACTTTGTCAACATCTTTATACAGCGTGTCAACAAGTCTTCTGTCTACATGCTTGAAGCTGAAATGACAGGATGTTGACTGCCACCCTGAGAGTTTTACCTTGGCTTTCATATCAACAGCTTTCAGAGCTGGTATCACCAGTTCAGTCGAGATTAATTTTCTGTGCTGACACATTGATACTTGTAAATTGGTGTTCCACCTTAAGTAAATGGGTCAGATGGTGCGGTAACTGTAATGCTGATGTAGAACATACAGAATAAGCTGTCATCTTACATAACAGCAGATACTATGTGATTGGTGGCTCTGAATAAACATGGAAATAGGCACTTAAAAGATGTCACCAATTCAAATTTGGGTGAAGGACCTGTCACCCAAATTGTGAGCGGTGGTAAGTTGTTGTGACATTTTGTTTGGCATCGGATTTTCTTTTAGAAATTGCCACAACTCCTTACTATCATTGCCTTTTGTGGCTTTAGGCTTTAGGCCTAAGAGGAGTGTTAAATATCCAGTGGTAAATGTCCTTGAGAAAAAAAAATATATTAAAAAGAAGGGGAAGGTGCATTAACCTTCTGTCCGAAAGCCAAACGCTCTGTTCCAGAAAAAAAAACAACGTGTTCCCAAAGTGTTTTGGACATATGCTTGTGGTCCATTCTCTACACTTTTTTTATAGACAGAGCTATTAAAAGTACCTAATTCCCATGCCAAGAGTCATTAGAATATACTCTGTCCTACTTAAAAGATGGTGTTTCCATTTTGAATGTGTATGTGGAGCATAGATGAACAGTTTTATTTATATTTTCACTGTGGTATGGAAAAGATAGAATGACATTATCAGCAAAACAGATCTTAATTATAAAATACAGTTTAACCATATTTCCATTGATGCCATTCAACACCAGTCTGCTGAAAGGTTGACCTTCTTGTAAACGACACATCTGAGATTGCATGACATCACATGCACACTCGGGCATGTGATTAAGGTTTAATACAGCATTTGAATAATCAGCACATGCCAAAGACAGACTCAACTGGGTAGGTTTGTGTTTCCAAATAATGAAATTAAACCTTTTTTTTTTTTTCAACATGGATTACATTTCAGGTATCCGTAGTCGTCTTTAAACTAATTAGAAAAATGTTCTGGACTTGGCTGAAGAAAAGGGCAGTGCACACCATGAGCAGATGGGGACCATATGATGCCTTGGCTGACCTGCTTACCCTCCCAATATCTCCTGTTGGTGACCAGAGACTAAAATCCAGACTGAAATGCAAAGCCGTAAAAAAGAGGAGGTTTAAATTAACTTTATACCGTGGTGTAGTGAGAAATGTAATACATTTTAAAATACATGTTAGAACCCAGTCATATCTGATATCTGTCCTCATACAAGAGGAAGTTTTTGAATCCTCATCTAAACTGATGTAGTTCTATGTAAACTGACAGCAAAGCTAGCAGCTAATATAAGGGCTTTTACCAATACCTTCAGTCGTGTACGGAAAACATCAAAAGTTGTCTATCATGCAATCCTTACATAAATGTGGGTAATTGTCTCAGTTGGTGAGATGGGGAAAAACGGTTTAAACTACACAAATTGAGATAGCTGGTCACAAATACAGCTGTAAGTATCTTACACAGTTTCTACACTTCAAGGACATTACTTGTAAAGACATGAAAAAAACAACAACCCTGAAACAAATTAAGTTTTAATTGCTGCAGTTCTTAAACAGCGAGTTCTGGTGATGTTTTCATCCATTATCATTATCCCCACAATGCATAACAGCAAATTAAACTTCATATTAAAATCATATAAAAATCATCTCGTTGCTCTGCATAAATTTATCATGACCAGCAACATGTTCTGCAGTCTTTCCCAGTCTAAAGACTGGCTAAAACAAATTATATTGTAGTTCATGTTTTATCAATTTTACAGGCAGAGGTTGATTATTAAATAAATTTCCATAACACTTTAAAATATCAATCTAAAGTAGATATTTTATAGACTTCATTTTGTTACTTCTATTCCATGCTAATTGTTAGTAATGCTAATTATTGGTAATTTAGATGTATTTAAATCCCTTATGTGTCACTGTGTTTGGGTGTTTTTCCATATATATAAATGTTTTTAGATGAAGCGTTTAATTTTTATGATTTTATACACTGTTTTTTTTATCCTCAATGGCCTGCCAAACTTAGGGAAGTTGATGTATTGCATGTGCAAACCTTATGGAAATGATTTAACTATATTATGAACAGGAAAACGTTTTTCAGAAGTCATTGTTCAGCAGAAACAAAAAGGAAAACGTATCTTTTTTTTATAGAACACTAGCCTGCAACTCCTCTCATCTGTTTTCATGAATGTTTCAAAAGCAGGTCCTGCAGTTATAGGAAACAGTATCTTTAGGTCACCTTGTAATCTAAATAAAAATGTCAACGAATCTTGTTTTTGTCCTGTGGAAAAAAGTACAGTATCCTTCTCACCTTTGAATCGGATTTTCTTTTTCATTTGATTTATATAGCTGTATTCTCCCTCTTGTCCTGCACAGGTAGCGCCAGCACATCTGTTGTATTTAACAAGAATGGCGATGCTCCAGGGCGCTATGACCTGTTCCAGTTCCAGTTGACCAACTCCTCTGGCCCAGAGTACAAGGTGGTGGGACAGTGGGCGGACACCCTTCAGCTCAGGGTATGCTGACTAACCATTGTATTTTACCAGGACACATACTTACAGTATATATTGCACATGCACCACATATAGTATTTTATATATTTTCCTAAAAGTAAAGCCCCCTGTGTGACAGTACGTGTATATTTTTTTGCATTTCACACTGTGTGTTCTTATATGCAGAAAATGTGTAAGTCACCAAGAGAGAATGACATAACCATTTGAGACAATAGACTTGAAATTTACCCAGCCAATTGATAAGTGTACAGTTTTTGGAGCTATGTTTTTTTGGTTGTTTTTGTTTTTTGCCATGTATGAATCCAGATAGATTAACAGAAATCTTTTCCAGTAGTTCATATGGTGTCTTGGAATTTGCCAAAGGCAAAGTCCTGCAGAAGCCAGCCTTAAAAGAAAATGTTTCTACACCTAATTCAATTTTAATGTTATCTACAGCTTTTAAGAAAAAAAAGGGAGAGGGAAAAGAAGCATGATGTGAAACTTGAACATTTCAAAATTAATGTGTGAAAGGGATAAAAGGATTTCAGCCGGTTACATATAGCCTGTTATATAAAAGTTCTGACGCGTTTCGGCCAGGAAAAGGAACGCTTGGCCGAGACCTTCTCAGAAGGGTCTTGATTGGAAGGATTGACACGGAAAGTAGGAGAACAGTGAGAGGAAAGTTTCATTATGTTTATACTGCCTCTGTCAAAAAACTGACAGCAAAGAGTGGAAGGAAAATGAAAGGGCTCATTTTCAGCTTAGGTGTCAGTCCATATATGTTCATTTATTTGGCAGGAGAGTTACTGAAGATATTGCTGCTGGAAATTGAAACCTAGTACGGTGCACAGATCTCCTCTGCTTCATGCCTCTGAAAATGGATTCTATAATTCTAATTAATATTCTGTTAGATGGAATTAAACTACAAGGCTAAGAAGGGATATTTGGAAACTTAAGCAATCATATTAAAAAATAAAACTGTATTTGTAATATTGTGTGCATCCTTGACCAAAAAGTGTTTTCAATCCCATGTAGTCTTAAATCAAGAATAAATGTAATATTTATAAAAAAAAAAAATATATATATATATATATATAAATATATATATATATATATATAAATATATATATATATATATATATATATATATATATATATATATATATATAAATTTTTAAGTTAAACCATGATAAGGGTATCACAACAACAACATTCAATTCAAGTGTACGTGGTTATCTCAAAAGAATACATCAATAGCCACTGTTTTTTGCCTTTATTGCTATACTTAAATATCTCTGATAATCAGATTAATAATAAAGACTCTAATAATAGATAAAAAGCAAGAGCAACATCTTTAATGATAGCTTTATTCATAAAGGGAAACAACCAATCCAAAATCATCCCATAACCTTATATCTGTTTGTGGTTGGTTGGACAATGTATTATCATGTAAATAAGCACATGTAGCTACATATCTAATTGAAACATGTCTCCAGCAATAGAAACAATCATTGAATTATGGGCTCAGAGGTCAGGGTATTCATGTTTTTCTGCTCACAGAAGCTCCAATTATTTGTAAAATTAATAACTAAAGCAAAACTCAAAAGAAAACTCCAGGGTTCAAGATGTCAAATAAAACCTTGTTTCCTGTCTCCTTGGCAACTGAGCTGCTGGTCTCATTACTGTTTCCACATTGTGTGCGTTCAGGAGGCTTTCCTACACACCGCCATTCATTGTCCACATAACAAATGGCACCTTCATAGCCTCTGATAAATGACAGCTGATAACCTATCTTGACAGCTCAGGAATAACACATTCGTCACACAGACACACATCACAAACACGCTGCAGATGTGAGTGCTACAGTACATAGGTGATGTCAGTAACCGTAATCATTGGGCACATATGGAGGAGGCATTCTGTCACCTAGCTGGAAATATGTTTCATTTTATAGTGACTGTCTTCGTTTTGTCTGTTAATTTCCCCAATAAATATTTTAGAGGTGAACAAGTCATAGATGAGAAATAATATCATGCTGTGTTTTTGCATTGCTTAAATCAAATTAAATTAAAAAGTGAGAGATAAGGAGACCTCTTGTATGTTACTTCCTTTGTAGCTAAAATCACTCTAAAAATTAGTCAGCTAACTGTAGTCGAACACTTGAAGCTGGATTATCTTACTCAAACCACATAATGGTTAGAGTTTTTGTCTCCTTTTGTTAAAATACAGATCCTACTTCTCCATTTGGAACACTTTCGAGCTGCTTCGTCAATTAATTTGTAGCAGATAACAAAACTAATTTGCTGTTTTAATCTGCAAGTAATGTCTTCCTATTATCCACCATGAGTCAATTTATAACTCCACACTAAACAAAGTATTTTTCATGCTGAGTTTGAAGTTAAAACCAAATTTGCAAAAAAAGTTCTTAAAGCTTTAGAAGTCAGTGTTAATAAGGTTTGCTCTCAGCTCATTTTGTATGGAAAAAACAGATTTCAATTTAAAATAATTTCATTATATACGTTATAGGTCTAGCTAGGGAAATCAAATAATTAATCTTTTAAAGGAAGATGTAAAATTAGTATATTCTACTTGCAGGTACCAAAAACACAATTTTATCTACAGTATCACCGGGACATTGAGCTGCAGATATTATGGAGTATGAACTTAAATACATGACAATTTGTTTTGTTTTTTTTGTTTTTTTTTTGTTGTTGGGTTTTTTAAAGAGAGGAGTAGGAATTCTTCAGCATAAATCATAATTTATTACTGAAAACACTGCCCTACTACTCGTTATGGACGGCATGCCAGTATTTGGTGCAGCAGATTACTAGTAAACAAAATACAAAAGATGATGTTGTTCTAATTTACATATCTTTAGGTCTTCATGAGGTTTGCATTTGAACTTATTATGTGCAAAGAAAAATAGAGAGAGTTTTTAGGGGCACCAAAGTTTCTATAACTTTGGACATACAGTAGCCTGTCATTTTTACAGTTTAAGTGTTGTTGTGTGGAAAAAAAGGTATTCAACTATACAGTCCAGTTAAACAGAGATCGATGGATTTCACTTGGTTGGCATTTTATTTTATTATGCAAAGTAAAAAGAGAACAAGACATCAGCCACCCTCACCGCATAATGTTCAGGCCTGTTCTGCCTAGACAGTGTTTCTCTCTCACTAATTAACCCTGCAGAAAGGCTCTGTAGGTCTCCACATATCTTTACCAAAATGAGGAAAGACAGTTTGGAAATAACACATAATGTTAGGAATTAATAATCCCTGAGAAACTGTCTGGCTTTTTGTGGGAATATTATCTTTTTATCCTAAACTCTCCCTAATAAGTTAAAAAACATCTCTCAATTAGACACTTTGTGGCATTGCAGCTCTGAGGCTTGAATGAATGAAACTTAGCACTAATAAATCCATATATGTATAAGCGAATTCATGGGAGATCGATTTTTTCCCACCACACTGTTTAAATGAATCATATATCTAAAACTTGGCTAAACTAAGCTACAGTTGTACTTTTTGATCTATTTGGTTTAATTCCAACTATCTATTGGCATTTTAGACTTTATACAAACATACTCCTAACAAAAAAAAAGGGCAGTGCACTTAAAACACTTAACACAGTTTCTAACACCAACCTGACACTTTTTTTATTCATTTATTAAATGCTGATGGGCAGCAAGGATTTTAGAGTCTTCTTAAATTCTGACATCCTAAGTGCAGAGAAGCTGAATCAATTATTTTCAGGCAGATTTGAAACTCTTAGAGTCAATCAAGCTTTTCCCTAAATTGCTGTTTTTATGCTACCTTTATTTAAATGTTGAAAAGTTGTTTATTTTTGTTGTTTAAAATGTTTTATCCCTTCATCCATCCATCCATCCATCCATCCACTACTGCTTGTTCATCAGGGTTACTGGGAGCTGGTGCTTATCTCCATTAGTCTATGGGCAAAAGGGGGAGTACACCCTAGACAGATTACTTTTTTAAGAGAATAGGTTAAAAAATGAGACAGAAATACACAAAATGCTTGCGCACACCTTCCTGACCAAAGCAGATGATTATAAATTCTACACCCTTAATCCCAATTTATATGTGGTTGTAAAAATCTTTCAAGAAGAAACAGATGGATTTTGTACAGATGGACATGACTTAATTTTGAACAAATTTGCCCTCTATTTTGTCAAATTTAGATTTACTATGTCCTGTTTATACTCTGAAATTAGATTATCCTTGATTCCAGTTTTAAAAACAACATTGGTACATTAAAAAGTCAGATATTCCCTCTGGGAGTCTCCAGTATGGCTGCATCACATATAGAACGTATTTTGGTTTTAACTATTTATTAGAACTGATGTTTGTATCTCATTAAAGCAATGGCACGGATAGCGCTGATATATATTAGTTGCAAACATTTAGCGTTTAATCATATAGTATAGAGAGAAAGTTGTTTTTAGTTTGGCAAAAGCCTGTATTATCTGTCCCGAAACCTGATTTTTAAATGGAGTAGAATCTCTATATAAAAGCACTGATATAGAATTATTGAAATGAGAGTAGAATAAGCATTTATTTTCTTCTAGTCCCATTAATACAGTACTACAGCCATACGTTTTTAATTATGACAGTCAGCCTACATGGCTTCCATATAAAATTATTTGGATAGTTTTACTTTATGTGTTCTATTTCATATCTTAAGTGTTTATAAAGATGGTTCTGCACATGTTGAAAAAAGTTTTTATTTATTTATTCATTGCTTTATTCAGAATGATCCTCAATTGAGGTGAGCACTGATAAAAAAAATAATGAATTGCAGCATGAGTACCACATCAGTACATAAAAAAGTCCCAATCACGCCATGTCAGCAGGATTTTTACACTGACCTTAACTCTTACCTAGAGCCAGAGAAAACTGATGAACAGATGAATTATTTCTCATTATAACTTTCACAAACAGTACTGCAAAACTTCCTTTAGTTAAATCATCTCATAGTGTTTAGATATACCATAGATGTCCTGTCCTGTTCATAAATTGAACTGATACCAGACATCAAGTACAACTAAAGGCAAACCAAGTACCACTGAGGGTACTTGTACCACAGTACTGAGAATTATGGCTGTTTCGCAGTATTCTAGGTATTTTTATCATATTCAAACAGAGTTTAAATGAATCTAGGGGTCACAAGAAGCATTCTGATGTCAAATGTAAACAGGTCTTCTCAGTGCAGGAGATCAAGCTATTTATTGTAGTATCATATGTCTAACTGTTGATGTTTGACTTTTTTCAGTCTCTTAATGTTCTGATATGCTGTGAAGCTAAGTTGGAGAAGCTTTCATCTTATTCTGCTTTTAAAGCCAAAGTTCAGAGCACTTTCAAAATAAATCAAAAGATATGCTCAGAGTGGTATGAATTTTTTAAAACCTAACAAAATATGTAAATCCACCTCTCTGTGATTTTTTTTCAGTTTGACTTACATGTTCAAACTATAGTATGAGCTTAAATCATAAAGCACCTCAAGACGTTTGTATTTAAGACTTTTTGACAGTGCCTAGGTGCTAGGGTGCACTGCACTTTTCTTGACAAGATTATAAATAGAAATGGGTCAGCATAGTCGAACGGCTGTATTTTACAAAACTGAATCCCATTCTTTCTCCTTGTCACGTATTTCATACCTCACCGGGTCTTGTATTAAAGCCTAATGTCTTTTGCATTTCACATTTATTTTTACTTCACTGGACAAAGGTATTCTCTGTTGCTATGGTGATTTCAATTACTTTCAAGTATTAGAAAAGGCAATCCCCTGAATAAATTGGCAGGAACGATCTTGTACTGTATTAATCCTTTCTCTCAGCTGTGGGAGGTAAATGTGATGCATTTGAGCTGCATATCGATGCTGTGTGTCCTGAAAGTTTTTTTTTGTAATTTCTTACATCTCTCACAGTCACTAACTCATCTTCCTGTGTCACATCTCTCCCAGCTGGAAGAGCTTCAGTGGCCAGATGGGGAGCAGGAGGTGCCCATCTCTGTGTGCAGTCTGCCTTGCAAAACTGGTGAGAGAAAGAAGAAAGTGAAGGGCATGCCATGCTGCTGGATCTGTGAGCTATGTGACGGCTACCAATACCAGTATGATGAGACTTCCTGTAGATTATGTGCGTACAACATGAGGCCCAATTCCAACAGAACGGCATGCCAGCACATCCCCATCATAAAGCTGGAGTGGCACTCTCCTTGGGCAGTAATCCCCGTCTTTCTTGCCATGCTCGGTATCATTGCCACCATCTTTGTAATGGCAACATTTGTGCGTTACAATGACACCCCTATAGTGCGGGCATCTGGCAGAGAACTGAGCTACGTGCTGCTAACTGGCATCTTTCTCTGTTACATCATCACCTTCCTCATGATCGCCAAGCCTGACATAGCCGTATGCGCCTTCAGGAGGATCTTTCTGGGCCTCGGCATGTGCATCAGCTACGCTGCCCTACTCACCAAGACGAACCGGATCTATCGGATCTTTGAGCAGGGCAAGCAGACGGTCACAGCCCCTCGCTTCATTAGCCCCACCTCACAGATTGCCATCACCTCCAGCCTCATCTCTGTCCAGCTTCTAGGGGTGCTTGTGTGGTTTGCCATTGACCCACCAAACACAATTGTTGACTACGACGAGCAAAAAACGATAAACCCCATGCTGGCTCGAGGAGTTCTGAAGTGCGACATCACAGACCTGCAAATTATCTGCTCATTGGGTTATAGCATCCTGCTGATGGTGACCTGCACCATCTATGCTATCAAGACAAGAGATGTACCAGAGGACTTCAATGAAGCCAAACCTATTGGATTCACTATGTACACTACTTGCATAGTATGGCTGGCCTTCATCCCAATTTTCTTTGGCACAGCCCAGTCAGCTGAGAAGGTGAGTCATTTCTTTTTGTTGTGCTCTCTCTTACACTGTCACCAACCTTCTCTTTGTATCTCCCTGAATTATTTTACATATTTTCTTTAGGTTTCTTTCAGCACTTATTTTTTCATCCTAGCAGGCAGAAAAGCAAGATAAAAACAGACACATTTATAGTGCCTTGCAAAAACATCGACACCCTTCAGACCTTTTCACGTTTTTTTCAAATAACTTCTGCAGAATTGAATGTATTTTATTGGGAACAGAAAAGGATTTTGAAATTAAAGGAAATAATAAAAATGTTTGTAAACTGTTTGCAAATTTAAATCTGAAAGGTTTGAAATGCATATATGTTTTCAAAAAGGCATTTTTGACAAATAAAAATTTGGATTTAATTTGATTTTCAATTGCTATGTTAACATTAATCTTTGATGGTAAAGTCCAAGTATTCTGTGGGGGGGACTTTGATTTTCAGCTTCAATTCTGACTTAATGACTTAGAACAAAAGTGTAAAATTAGGGGATTACTTTAAATTTATACCTTACTAGGAAATGAATGTTTTTGACTTGACCATATTTATTCATGCGCTTAAAGTAAATGTCTTCAGAGGTTGCCTAATTAATAAATAGGATTTCAACTTTATTACATTTTAATATTATTCCAGCTGTTTCTATGAGTCTCAGAGGTTGGACAGAGGAAAACAGGATTAAGGATTAAGCTATAAAACAATAGTCAAGCTATATGATTTAATAAAGCACTGTTCAATTCATCATGTGTATATTCCTACAGATTTTTTGCAAAATGGTGCTAGTGGCTGTTTCCAGCGCTTACTGGGCAACAGGTGGGGCACATCCTGGGCAGGTTACTAGTCAATCACTAACACACATTCATATCTAAGGCCTATTTAAAGATTCAAATAACCTAATTGTTATTTTTTAGACTGTAGACAGAAACTGGATTACCTTGAGAAAACCCACTTATCCACTCGGAAACCATACAAGTTCAATGTAGAGGTCACCCTGTATCAGAATTTGAATCCAGGAGCTTCTTTCTGCAAGGCAACTCTACTACCAGATGTTCCATCATGCAGACCTCACTGCTCAGTCCAAATAAAATGGACAGAATTTGGCATTGCTGAAAAATTTCACACATGGCTGTTAACCTAAGGTTACAAGTCAAGCAGAGAGAGCTTCCGAAAGTTAAAAGACAATCCACTGGACTTTGTTTCCAAGTTTGAAGATGTTTCACTTCCCATCCAGGAAGCTGTTTCAATTCAAAATGTCAGAAATAACATTGAGTTTGAGGCTTTTTGGAGTGGACCAAAAACAAAGCCTTTTTTTGGCTTAGAAAACATTTCTAGTATTTTAAATCTAAATATGATAAAAATGTGGTCTTGCAGTGGACCACAAGAATAATTTCATGGTAATTGCCGTACTTGTTTTCTCTACATATCAGAGTTTTGTGTTATATTTTTATTATTATTATTATTTTATTTTATTTTATTCTATTAAAAAAAACATACATTATTTTCTTACAAACCCACAATAATTTCTTTGTGGTGTTGTTACTCAGTTTTTATGTGGAAAAATTTGACAATTCTAAGTTGGCAAGAGTACCTTTATGAGAGGAGGTGGGTAGAGTACCCAGAAGTTTTAATCAAGTAATAGTAGCACTATTTCAACATATTTTATCTCAAGTAAAATTAAAAACTTGCCTTTTAAGTAGTTACTTATGTAAGAGTAAAAAAGTATTTGGTAAAAACACTACTCAAGTACTGAGTAACTGACCCATGATCATAACATCCAATTTTATATTTTACAACATTATGTAAAATTGAACAAAATATTAAGCAAGAAAAGATAAAAACAAACATATAATATACAGTAATTACACAATAAAATCTAGATGGAATAAGCACTGTTCAATACACATTTGCTAAATTATAAAACTGAAAAAAATCAATAGTTACAGTATGTTAGAATAGGTTGTACTACAGTATACTGTATTTTCAGCCAACCTCTAAATCACATGGCAGACTCAGCAGATGGAAATAGCTTTTAACCAATAAGCTTTAAGTTGGAAAGTGAGTCTCTTTGTTTTAAACAAACTTGTTTTCATTAAAGGTATTGTGGAGGATTTTCATTAATTTTTTTACAAGACCCGTCCTCTCTACTTTAAAAAAAATTGCGTGTGACAGAGAATGCACGAGTCCATTTCTCCTCATGTATTATCTGTTTAAAAGTTGCTGTTCTCATAGCTCATACATGCTTACTGTGTCCAAACATCTACTCTAACCCCAAAAACTGTAAATCACTATGTAGGGACCCGGACTATATAATGGACTTTATCACGAACTCAGTTAACTGACCATTCAGACAGATGTTCAGTGCTTTTTGCTCCATTCTTCCTGTAACATTACTGCACGGTGCCTGTGCCATCTTTGTTATTAGTCACCGCTGTTGCTACCCGACAGCGGGCCACTGTGACAACAAATCCCATAATGCTTTGCGAGGAGAGCTCACTGCACAAAGCATTCCAGGATATATCTGCCTCTTCTGAGGCCTTTATTTTATTCTCATACACTTCGTAGACACTTTTTATCTTAGACCCTCAGTCATTTTCAAAGAACCGCAGTGAGGAAGGTGGGCTTCAATGAGAGTCTGAAACTGTAGCTCACCACAGATATATGCCTGAAAGTGCTCATGCACAGAGAAAGATAGCTAATGGGGAAAGCACGGAGGATGCCCTTAAGAAAACATATCACCAGAATGATTGACAATTAGGTTGACCACTTATTTAGATGATCCACCCGTAAATAAAAGATTGTTCTCTATACTTTTAAGTGAGGTTACTGACAATGGATGGAGTAGTAGACCAGTAGTAGACCAGTGCTGTAAAACTACTCCTAAAAGTATATTTTTCTTTTCAAAAAGTTACTCAAGTACATGTAACTGAGTAAATGTAATTAGTTACTACAAACACTGTAGAGTCTACATGGATTATGGCTGTGCACTGCTCTGACCTGTGCAACACTCCACACATGATTCTGGAGGACGAGAAGGAGGTATGTGAAGGAGGAGGTGGAGCAGATGTCAACTACCAACATTTGAAGCACCTGAGGTGCTATTAGTCTAGCACTTTGACACAGGGCTTAGCATAAAGTATTATTTCTTTCATCTGAAAAGGCAGACAGGAATATGGGGGTGGAGAAGAAGGATGATGAGAACCTGGGGGAAAAAGAAAATGTGGCGAAAAGGGGTGGAGTTGGGGGGTAAACACTTTCCATCTTTTGACAACTGCTCTCAACAAAGCAGTTGACATAGTGTGCAGTTAGAGTTGATTGAGAGGATGACATTCTGACCTTCTGTGTTAGTCACTGCTGATCAGGGCTACAGCTGAGCAGAATACAGATACATTCATCTGCTTTGACTTGCACGCCGCTTGGCACCCGCATAGTTACATGATGGAGCCAAAGCGAAGGTTTTCCCTGACAGAATATCAATGCAGACAGGAATGTGTTACTCCTAACGTTTTGAGAGACACTCTGCTCAATATCCCTCCCTCTAAACCCCCACATGAGATAGATCAGAAACTGATTTTCCTCATCTCAATTTGCAGCTGATTTCATAGATGAATTACACCCTCAGCAACGATTAGGAGTTCATTATGTTACTCACTGCAGCTAGTGAAGCAGTAATGTGTTTATCTTTCCCCTTTATGCAGTTAACTCTTTCTTCTCACACAGTTATGGTTCACACCACAGTTTCTTAGAGCACGGCCTTCTGCTGGTGTCATTTACAACTATTGATTGTGAGAAATACCTTAACACATCAAACACTGAGCTCCTATTGGATCATATTTTGTTATATTCAATCTACATCTTCTTGGATTTTCAACATGTATTCTTTAACCTGCCATAGTTTAGAAAGTATTATTTACTTCATAAATTCCCAAATTATCCATCCTCTTTGTTGGAATAAAAGACGATTATAATTAAAGAAAAATAATTGAAAAAGCCTTTTCAATAAAAAATGTTAGGAATAGAGTTGAGTTCAAGGTTTTATATAGTAGCCCAACAAAGCCTTGTTTTTGTTTTAAAAAACATGGAAATTGAAACGGATGAAGGGGTCCACCCTTTTGGAATGGGGGTCGTTTGGCTTCTTTTGTTAGCCTGCAATGCCCCATACCCGTCTAAGTGTCTGAAAAGGGGGTTGTTAAATGGATTGTTGGCCTGGCTGAATAGGCGAGGTCCTCCACTCTCCTGTTGTACGAGGCTGGGGATGTGGTGAGAGCGGGTAGGCATTGTACATCAAAAGCCCCTTGTTTCAAACAAAAACAAGGCTTTGTTGCTCTACTGTATAAAATCCTCGAACTTAACACTATTCCTGACATTTTAAACTGAAAAAGCTTCTTGGATGTGAAGCAAAATGTCTTCAAAGTTGGAAACAAAGTCCTTTTCTTTTTTTGGATTGACTATGATCTGGATGATGGAGAATCTTCACCAGGACAATTAAAGGATAAATTAGTTTGGCGCTGTGTGCATTTGTTGGAGCACAAATCTACACAAATGATCATTGTTTATTTGAGTGTGGACTTGCTTTATGGACTTGCCTGAATGTGAATTTAAAGATGATGTGAATCAACACCCACTCAAACATTTGTAATATTTCTCACACCGGCCTTTATAATATCTAATGATTTAGAAAACCAAGGACAAAAAATGCCAGCCAAAACTCAGCTGTTTCTGCTTGTCCAAACATTGCCTGAACAAGGGACCCAACCACCCTGAGTGGAAAATTCACAAAGCTCTTAAATTGGCTCTTTTTTTCTTAGAATGTTACACATACCATCATATACATTCACATTTGAGTTTTACAAAACAGATTCTAATAAATACAAAAAGCAATAAACAAAGTAATCAATTCCATCAGCTTAAAGAAATTTGCCCCTATTTTGATATCCCTTAACAATTATTTATTGTTAAGGATCAAACACAGCATAAAGAAAACTGAACTGAA